GAGCCATCAACGAAATCAATGAAACAGGGAGAGAGAGAGAATAACAACAGCTGACAAAGTTAACATGAGTAACGTTATTGTGAATGGTCACTGAATTATTTTTTGATTGTTTGGGGAGTTTTGGTATCTAAGCCGGCAATTAATTTCTAAAATAAATTAAACTAATAAACAAATAACATAATAAAACAAAACATGTCACACACCTCGACAAATATGCAAGAGCGCCTGGATCAGTTACAACAACTACACAAAATGTGCCGGCAAGAGTTATTCCAATTAAAAACGAATGTGGAACACTATTTGCAATCCAGCTCGAACATGGTCCGAATGGTGGAGAACCATTGGTCAGAAGTTGAGCGAGGTGGTGGTTTGGCGTTGATGATCTATGACAATTTCCTAACGAGTATAACAAATGTTATGAATTTGGCAAGAAAATTTAATTTGCAATTGCAGCTAAATCATGGCGAAGACAAACATAAAATGATGGAAATGTTTGGAATTAAACCAGATGACCGCAAGGATGAGTTGGTGGTGGAGGAGGAGGTGGTGGTGGAAAATAGTAATACCAAATACGAAATATCGAAATCAGACAGGGAATCTGAATTGAAACGCATAGATTTTATACAAAATTACAATAAATCGATATATCCGGCTGAGGAGATATGCAACAACAATAACAACACTAATGCCGATGAAGAAGGAGAATTTCTTTATCCTCAAGAAAATCTCTCAACTATTTATACCCCTGGCCAAACCATTAAAGCTTTTGTAACCTATCTTAAGGATGTGGAAAATTTAGAATTTTATATTTTCGATTTTCAATCAAAATATGTGGGTATTATTAATGAAGTAGCTCATGCCTTGGATTTGCGGCAATACCACCATCTACCCCCGGTCAATGAGGTATTTGGTTTGGTACTGGACAAACGTATTTTGAGAGCTGTGCGTTCCCCGAAAATCCTCTATGACCAAGATCTGGAAGAACAGATATACCCTTGCTATCTATTGGATTTTGGAGAAATTGAAAATATGAAAATGCATGATATTAAATATCAACTCAATGAAGAACAACAAAATGTACCCGCATTGGGTATATTATGTCAAATGGCCCGAGACTCCTCCAAGCTCCCAGAAAAACTCAAACATTTAGAATATCAACAATGTGATTTGAAAATAATTGAGATTAAGGAGAATAAACTTATTGTTGAATTCAGCACAAATGATGAGACAAAAGCAACAATAACAAATACATCGAACAAATTACAAAATTTACAAATAACGGAAACCAATCCCTTTCGCCAACAAACCAAGGTGGCGGCAGAGGAACAAACTCAAAAAACAAAGGAGCTTACCCGCGAAGAACTGCAAATTCTCTACGATGATCCATTGTTGTGTACCAGTAATGCCTTAACCGCGGTTATGGGTTATAATCCCAAAGATGAGCAACGTCTGTGTCGTTTCTATGATCCCAAAACGGGCGCCTGCTTTAAGGGCTCAACGTGTAAACAGGAACATCAACCCCTGAATCCCGAAGGCTATACCAAAGATCTAATACCCGCCACCTCATTTGTTGATACACGTACCGCCATGGTAGTATATCCCAAAGATGCCATAATTAGTATTACACCCACCCACATTGGCCAAATATCCTCATTTTATTGTCAAATCAATGATGTTCATCATAATAACACCCCGCTCATTTGGAATGATGAAGATATTCCGGCATGGAAACGTTTGGAAAGGCCACCACATATCTATGAATTGGTTCTGGCCCGCTATGATGATGGTAATTGGTATCGGGCTAAAATAATATCCCATGATGATGATTATAAAATGTTTAAGGTCTTCTATGTGGACTATGGCAATCATCAGTTGGTACATTTAAGGAATTTGGCAAAGTGTGATACGGGTATGGCTCAAATACCATTTCAAGCGATTATCTGTCGGCTAGCCAATGTTAGGGAAATTCAAATGCCAGCACAACAGAAAAAGCCAGCCATTGAAAAGTTGTGTGCTGCTCTGCTAAATCAAACATTGGATGTAAGGGTAATCGCGCATCATGAGGATTTATTTATCGAATTTCTCGATGACACATATTTATGTTTGTTGGATTGGCTTAAGGTAGAGGGTTATGTGGAGGTTCAGTAGAATGGAAAATTTTTATTTTAATTGAATTTACATAGATTTTTACATTCAATATTTTTATTGTCTTGACTGATTATCTTTTTGATTAGTTTTTTTTAAGTTATTAATGAATTATAATTTTTTTAATTTTATTTATCAAAACACTTTTCATGTATGTATTTAATTTTAGTTTATTTTAATAAACAATTCGAATTTAAATGGAAAATATTCACATATTTATATTAAAAAAAACGTTCTTGATAATTTAAGTTCCCATTGGGTAGCAAATCTCCTTACCAAATCGACATCGGTCTACTTTTGAGGATAGCCCCCATATAACAGTACCCCCAAATATTCTGTATTATAGGGAATTTTGGTACTTTTTTGGGTTCTCATTGGCCAGCAAATCTACCTACCAAAAATTTACTATATCGGTTCACTTTTGAGGATAGCCTCCACATGACGATACTCTAAAATTTTCTGGATTTTGGGGATTATTGTCATGTTTTTCAACCGAATTGGATGTAATATGGTTTCCCATTGGCTAGCAAATCTTCCTATCAAAAATTTACGATATCGGACCACTTTTGAGGATAGCTCCCATATAACCGTACCCCCAAATATTCGGTCTTTTGGGGAATTTTGGCACTTTTTTCTACACTCTATTATTCCGAATTTTGGGGAGTTTGGCAAGTTTTTCAACCGAATTGGCTGTAATTTGGTATTTTGAGTGTCTATTGGGTAGCAAATCTCCTCACTAAAATTTATAGATATCGGCCCACTTTTAAGGATAGCCCTCATATAACAGTAACTCCGTTATTCGGAATTTTGGGGATTTTTCAACCGAATTGGCTGTAATTTTGTACTTTGAGTTACCATTGGGTAATAAATCTACCTACAAAAAATGATCGACATTGGTCTACTTTTGCGGATAGCCCCCATATTGCGAATAGCTCTATTGTTCGGATTTTTGTAATTTCATATTTAGAGTTCCCATATCCACACTAAAAATTATCCATATCTTTTTACTTCTTAAGCAGCCCGCATATAAAGGTACCCCAGAATATTCGGTATTTTTGGGCATATTTAAGTTTCGTGTAAACCCCATATTATTTATTGAATTGAATATTTCCAATTTCTTTCTTTAAAATACAATTTTAAAAACAATCATCAATATAAGGCAATGCATTGTTGCAATATTGCCACACCGACCATGCCTTCCAACCCTGCTCCCTTAGGATTAAGCGGGCACATTGTAAATCTGCAGCAATGCTATCCGACAGCAGGTCATTACAGTTGATTTTACACAAATTATGACTGAAGGCGCCACTGGGTGGTGCACACCAATATTTATCGTTTATTTGAAAGATACCATAATCATGGGAACCATCCCAATTGGCCGGACCAACAGCATAACTATTATAGGTCGATTCCCGTTCGGCAATACAAATCCAGCTGGACAGCTCATAACGGGGTACACCCAAATTTTGCAGTTCTCTGGCCAATGAACAGCGATCGTAGATTCTTGCATCGGCAATGGGAGCCATGCCAATGGCGGCTGCAATTAAAAGGAAGGCTATTGGCAATTTCCACATCATTTTTTATCGATTGATGTGTGATGTGTTGCTGTTTCCGATTGCTGACTAGGGGTTTATGTTGTAGCTCTTTGGCTTTTAGGCATTTTTATAGGAAAAAATTGCTATGCTTGGTGGTACTGGGGTAATTTTTGTTATCGTTTGTATTTTTTTTGGTTTTTATGTGGGTGGTGGGAGGAAAATCCCAATAAATAAACTCCCACTAGCTTATCAATTTTTGTGTAGCATAGTTTCCAACAGTGCACGGCCCAGCATGAAAACATTGTTATGTTAAATTCTAGTCTATGTTCAAGGCACAATGACTTCAGAGAGGCATAGTTTATTTGCCAAGTTTCCCAAAAAAATATTTTTCAAAAACCACAAGAGGCGTGGATTTATTAAAAAATATTTTTTTCAAGACCTGCAGAGCTCAGATTTATTAAATAATATTTTTTCCAAGACCTGCAGAGCACAGATTTATTAAAGAATATTTTTCCCAAGACCACAAGGGGCGTGGATTTATTAAATAATATTTTTTCCAAGACCTGCAAAGCTCAGATTTATTAAATAATATTTTTTCCAAGATCGTAGATTTATTAAAGAATATTTTTCAAACACCACAAGAGGCGTGGATTTATTAAAAACTATTTTTCAAAGACCACAAGAGGCGTGGATTTATTAACGAATATTTTTCAAAGACCACAAGAGGCGTGGATTTATTAAAAATATTTTTCAAAGACCACAAGAGGCGTGGATTTATTAAAAATATTTTTTTCCAAGACTTCCAGAGCACAGATTTATTAAAGAATAGTTTTTCCAAGACCTCCAGAGCTCAGATTTATTAAAGAATAGTTTTTCCAAGACCTCCAGAGCTCAGATTTATTAAAGAATAGTTTTTCCAAATCCTGCAGAGATCCAATCCGCAGAACTCAGATTTATTAAATAATACTATTTCCTAGACCCCCAGAGATCCAATTTATTAAAGAATATATCTTCCTAGACCTGCAGAGATGCAATTTTTTCCAAGACCCCCAAAAGCATTGTTATTTTAAATACTTCCCCAAAATATCATATCCCATATTTGTATTTAATTATATTGAAAACAATTAACCCCATTAAAAAAAATATCGTTTAATTCCATTCATTTATTCAAAATTTATTCAACACTTTTCCAGTTTAGAAACAATCATCAATGCTGGGCAAAGTACCATCACAGTATTTCCAGGTGGACCAGGCAGTCCAGCCTTGTTGTTTCAACACCAATTGGGCACACTTAACGGAGGGTTCAATGCTATCGACCAAAAGGCTATCACACTTAATTTTACATTCATCATAGGAGAAGGCACCATTGGGTGGTTGACACCAGTATTTGTTATTAATCTGGAAGATACCATAGTCGCGGGAGCCATTCGAATTCAAAGAGCCGACAGCTTTGGTATTGTAATCAGATTCATGTTTGGCAATGCAGGTCCAACGGGCCAATTGATCCTTGGGTACACCCAATTTGTACATTTCCCGGGCCAAAGAGCAGCGGTTGTAAACCTCACCCAAGGCGGGGCCGACCAAAAGGACAGCAGCCAAAACAGCAAAGGTTAATTTGAACATTTTTTTTTTTTGATTTTGATTTATTTTGGTGGTAGAAGTTCGGAAAACAACTATGCTTTTTCCAATAGCATACAGGGGTTTTTATATCATTATTTCCCTTAGGTAGATATTGGTGTGAATCTATCGATAAATATTCGCATATCTTTGTTGAATGTGATAAGAATACGAAATTTGTGTATTTAAAAAAATGATAAATTACTTATTTTGTTATGCCATGTAAACACCTATTCCTATATCTGATTATCTTAATTAATATTAATTATAATAGATTAATAATTTAAAAAGATTTTGCAAGGAATGTTTTGTTATTTTGGCCCACAACAATAACAAAAAATTCTTTCATAGAATTTCAAAATTTGCGCAATTGTATACTATTTTCTGGGGGACATAACTCTACCAATAATTATCGGATTTTAATAAAATCAACGGATTTTGAAAGAATAAATTCTGATCTGAAAATAGAAATTATATTTAAATAAAATCTGCAAGCACACTTTTTGTTATTGTTGTGAATTATAAATTACCTTTTCTGTAGAATTTAAAACATGATCCATTTTGATGCTTTTCATTTTGCGTAACAATATTACGGGAGCCATAACTCCGCCAATAGTCATTGGATTTTAATAAAATCAAAGGAGTTTGGAAGAAGACATCCTGATCAAAAAATCGAAATTCAGACTTTGACATAATGTTCCTACCACCAAAGATATCCGGCATGTTCCCTAGACACAAACCTTTTCAACTTATGTACCATTTTTTTGGGTAACCATGTTGAGGGTACTCTAACTTTTAAAGTAATCGGTATAACTTAATGAAATAAATTGTTTTGGATAACAAAATATCTTACCTAAAATCACTGAACTTGATGAGAATATATCTCATCACATATCTGAGATATTGCCCAAAATGTAACATGACTAAACTTTTTACGATTCATGATATTTTTCGGTAACCATATTCTGACAACCATAACTTTCTCAATAGTGAACGGATTGGAATAAAATCAATTGAATTTGGAAGATAACACCTTAGTCTAAAAATAAAAATTAAATTTTTGACATAGCTTTCATAATAGCTGAGATATTGCCCAAAATGTAAAATGACTAAACTATTTACGATTCATGATATTTTTCGGTAACCATATTCTGACAACCATAACTTTGGCAATAGTACACGGATTGGAATAAAATCAATTGATTTAGGAAGAAAAGGAATTCATCTAAAAATAAAAATTAAATTTTTAGACATAGCTTTTATAATAGCTGAGATATTTGGAAATTTCCACAATTACCAAACAAATGCAATTGTAGCGAATTTTGAACTTCTTTCATTCAAGAGGGAATAACTTTTGCTGTGCACATCGAAATTTTAATTTAATATTGGAATCTTGATAGATGACAATTTGACCTTTAAAACGAGATTTTTTATGCTTACAAAACTGCTAAAATATCCAAGTTTTGGCCAAAAGTTTCCAAGACTCAATTTTTTTTTAAACTACAATAATTTTAAACAACTTACATTCCCGAGAGTATAACTATTAATTTGAACATTGGAATGCTATTAAAATAAATTAATCTTGATATACGGCAATCTGACCTTTAATATAAAATATCTGACCTTTAAAACAAGATATTGTATGCTAACATAGCTGCTAAAATACCCAAGTTATAGTCAAAAGTTTGCAACACTCAATTTGTTCAACAACTGGCAACTTTTTTTGGTAACAATATTCTGTGAGCCATAACTTTTAAACTACTCTTTAGATTTTAATGAAATAAAAAGTTATCGGTAGTTAAATGTTCATACTTGAAACCAATATAAAAATAAAGCTTTCAAAATAATCAAATTCGAGAGTTATCGCCAAATGTACACAAAACGCTTAAATTGCCAAATTTGGCCAATTTCTCAGTAACTATCTTCGGAGAATCATAACTTTTCGAAAATTCAACGGATTTAAATAAAATCAATGGATATTGAAAGGATAACATTTAATTAAAAAATAAAAAATATTTTTTTGATATATTTTTCGTAATACCAGAGATATGGGAAAATTAACAAAGAAACGAAATATTTATAATTTGTAATCATTTCTGATACTCGTTTTCCAGAGACCATAACTTTTTAATTAGGCATAGTATCTATATAAAATCAATTGATTTTTATTAATAAATATCTCATTTTTATAATATATGTAAAATTTATCGATATATTTTGTGTAATACCAGAGTTATCGCAAGAAATTCCCGATACGCAAAAAATTCTGAAATTTTTGGTATATTTTGCGTAACAATGTTCTGAGAGCCATAACATTGGGATTTCTCAACGGATTTTAATAAAATAAACTGATTTTAATAGAAGAATACTTAAAAAAGATTATTCAAAAAATATAAATTAATTTCTGTATATAACTTTTATAATACCTGAGATATGGGGAAAATTATCAAAATAAATCGATATTATTAATTTGCTAATTTTTGTTATAATCATTTTCAAAATGCCATAGCTTCTGATGTGGGCAAGGGATTTCCATAAACTATATTGATTTAGAGAAATTATCATCTGATCTTTTAATTTCATGTGCATTTTGTGGGTATAACTTTTAAAATATCAGAGTTATGGTAAAAATTCCCCATTACCTAAAAATTAGTTATTTTGGGCTAATTTTGCGTATCAATGTTCTGATGGTCATAACTTTGGCACTTCTCGACGGATCTAAATAAGATAAATGGATTTTAATAGAGGAATATTTGATCTTAAAATAAAAATTCATTTGTGTAAATAACTTTTCTAATACAAGAGATATGGCAACATTGCCAAAAGTACTCGATATTCTTAATTTGTTCTATTTTGTAATACTCATTTTCACGAACCAATAACTTTTAAATTATTCGCGATATCTCCATAAAATAAATTAATTTTAAGAAGAGAGCATCTGATCTTTGAAATACATGTGCAATTTGTGCATATATCTGCCAAAATACCAAAGTTATAGGAAAAATCCCCCATTACTCTATTTTTATGCTATTTTTTGGTGAATTTTGCGTAACAATCTTCTGATTATCATAACTCTGAAACCACTCTATGTAACTGAATAAAATAAATTGTTTTCAATAAAGGAATACTTGATCTAAAAATAAAAATTATTTTTTGGATACAACTTCTATAATACCAGAGATATGGAAAAATGGCGAACATTACTCGATATTTTTAAATTTTTGATTTTTCTCTTAGTCATTTTCATAATGCTATAACTTCCGAAGTAGGAGAACCATATTGGTAAAATGTGTTGGTGTTGAGAGAGGAACATCTGATCTTTCAGATGCATGTACAATTTGTTGATATAACTGGTAAAAAACCTGAGTTATAGACAAAATTTTCCCATTACCCAAAAATTTTAAGTTTCCGTCATAATATCCTTAACGATATTCAGGAGCTCATAACATTGACACTTTTCATTGGATCTATATATAAAAAAAACGGATTATAATTGGACAGTACATAACCTAAAAATATAAATTATTTTTTTTTTCGATATAACATATAGTTACCGGTCCACAACTCAGATTCAGAAAAATCCGATTTATTCAAGAAATAATTTTTTTTATTTTATTTCATATTTACAAGAAAGTGTAAAAACAAATTAACAAATTCCATTAAATAAAACTAACATTTAGCATACAACGACTAATTGAAAAAAAAAACACCAATTTGAACTAACTACAATAAACCCGTACTTCCCGCTGAGGCAGCCGCAACAGCAGCGGCGCCCAACGTTGCTTGATTCAAATTATTACGACTCAATATTTGACGCATTGTTTGCAATTCGTCACGCATTGCCATAACCTGCGCTCTTAGCAGCGAATTTTCCTGTTCCAAAAATGCAGCACGAAATGCAATACGATCTTCACGTATTTTTCGGGCATCCCGCGATTTCTTAGCCGCTTCATTATTACGCTTACGCCGTTCATAGTATTTGTCATCCTTTTGTTCATCTGGTATTGGGCGTTTTTCACCACGCGGTCGCCGATGTAAGAAGGATGGAAATATACCGCCACGATTCAGTTCCATGAGAGGGAAATCAACGGGACTTAGATTACGTGCAGCTGGAGTTAAGTATTCAAAGGCTGGCAATGAAGGCTGCATACTTCCCGTGGATCCGGGTAGTGGCAAAATATTGATGTTTGGTAAGCCAAGGCCGCCGGGAATTGCTGTTGATGACTGTTGTAAAAGGTTGGCTCCATTATCCCTCGGCGAATCTTGAGTTTTTGTTAGAGATTTTTCGGAACTTGTGGTTTCATTTTGTTGCAAACATGCAGCCAGCGAATTCTCCAATTCGGCAGGTATATGCTCCAAGGTAGAATTATCGATAACATCTAATATCGGTGATGTTGGTGGTGTCTTTGCCGTCTCATAGTTGTGATGTAAAATTGTATCCAATTGCGAGGGATTTACTTGTGGTCCATCTTTCAGTAGATTATAGTAGGGGGAGGGTTCTGAAAGGGGGGAAGAGAAACAGAAAAAAATATATTAAAAATTCGATAAAAATTTAAAATTAATACATCGTTTACAAGGCGAAAAGTAATGTTGTTAATAACAGCTAGAAGGGAATATGTTGGGCGCCACTTTATTATGAGGCCATATTTTGAAGAAAAAATATTAAAACCAGAATCTGAACTGATAATTTAACACCGTCGGAGGTTTATACACTATCAAATATTAAACAAAATCACATGCAAGTTGCATAAGTTATAGCCAAAAATTCTCTCTTTCGGTTTCTTAGTAACTTTAATGGTAACAATGTTCAGTGAGCCATAATTTCCAAACTACTCGGTATATTTTAATGAAATAAAAATTTCTCGATAGTAAAATATTTAAAATTCAAATAAATACATAATTATTGGCATTACATTAGCCATATTCAATAGATTTCACCAAATATTTTCAAAATTCATAATTTAGAAATTAAGATAATTTTTTCAGTAACCACACTGTGTGGGCCATA